CCCCCCCCCCCCCCCCCCCTCCGCTCCGTGGCAACTTCCCTCGGTGTCATCTCCGAGCTGTCTCAGATTACACGGTTTGGGATCTGCACTTTGAACGCTGTTTTAGGGCCCCGCGCTGCCTTTTGAACCGAGATGCGGGTTATATACTTTTGGATCAGCTCCCCATCGCTTTTTGTCCTCCCCCCACCACCCACCTCACCCCCCGTTTTGGTATAAAACAGCAAATATGAAGAAGCCTTTTTGCTATTTTGGCTGCTGCTGTGGCAGTGGCAGCGGTGGTGGTGATGGGGTTTGTTGGGGTTTGTGGTTGGGGTTTTTTTTTCTTCTTTTTCCACAGCCTGCTGTGCCACTACATGCGCACTTCATGGCACTCAAGCATGAACTCCTATTTACAGCAGGAAAAAATGCCCTCCGCGATTCTCCTACATTTACAGGCAGTTGCAAGGAGTTGGGGGGGCGGGTGGAAGGGAATAGCCATTCTTCACTGGATCCCTTTACCTCTCAAAATACGGGGTGCCCACGGTCTCACGTCGATAAAGGAGCAGTTATATTGGGAAACGTGCATTTCTTCCATCATTTCAGATTTGAATCATGCTGCAAACACCCCTCACCCCCCTTTCCTTTGCCATCCCATTATCCAAGTTCTGCATTGATTACGGGGAGACTGAAAATCAGCGTATTGGAAGAAGCAGGCATTTAGACGGAGGCATACAGTTTAATTTAGAAAAGCTATACAGTGACTAAGTTCTTGTGAGTGTTCTCGAGGGAGACTGGAGATTAAAATGTATTTACCCTCCCCCCCCCCCCCCCCCCCCCCGAAATATCTTCATCCCAATCAAGGCATAACTGGTTTATACAAAGAATTTTATGATAAAAGGCAATAACACAATGTCATAAAAAAACCCTATAAAATTGTTGAAGAGCAGTTTGTTTGCATTTCTCCTGATTGATATGTAAATACAGTTTGAACTGTGTTTGCTCGGTCTCTGGTGCTTAATAAAGAGATGAATGCACCTTTCTGTGGAACAAGTAAACAGACTTTAAACTAAGCCGACATCAGACAAAGTGGAAACGAGTTTATTTAATCGAAACTAAATCTAGTTTAAGAAAGATAAGTCAGTGTACATAATAATCCATTACAGTAATTACACCCACCACCAAATATGTGTTTATGAGGTTGTCGAGACACAATAAAATTCATTTATTTCCCCCGAAGTCTATAATGAAAAGTCACTGCCTGGATCTCTATCGAACATGCTAACTCCAATATTTGGGGGGGGAGGATATATAATATTTCTCGGCTGTATTAATGCTTTTCAGTGCTCCTCGCTTTTGGACGTTGCTGTGTTTGAAATGATGCAAACATGAATTACATCTGAAGGGGAAATGTCGACTTAACCACACCACTTTCCCTTTGCTCTTGTCTATTAACTCCGGGAGAAACTAACCCTAATTTAATAAATCCGTAGGGTTAACCCTGCTCTGGCTCCCTTCGCGGGAGCTGGCAGCCCTGTGCCACGGACCAGGAATTCCCAACTCTTTCTTGTTTTAGCAGAAATAACAGTTTTGAGCTCCAGGACACACACACACACACACCCCCGCCATGCTTAATGTCATGTTATAGATCTGAAACGAATATTCTGCATTGAGAAAGGAGGAAAAAAAAAAAAAAGGAATATTCTTTGAGTTAGTTGAGAATGTCGCTGTATAAAGCATGAAATATAAAGAATGAAAGGTCTCGAAATTCCTGTTGACACACGTGATGTTCTCTAGTTAGAAAAAAAAGGAGGGGAGGCAGAAAGAATCAGAAAATCTTTTTTTTTTTTTTTTTTTTTTCCCCTGCCGATTTCCCTTTTTCTCCATCCAAACTAGCACTTGGTGTCCGAGTAGCACCGGCTATCTTGTATAAATAAAAGACTGGAGCTTTCGAAAACTGCTCCTTAAACTGGATGTTGGGTTGTTTCCATCCCGGGCAAGCCGCTTGCTTTCTCTTCAGAAATATGAGCATTTCATAATACCCCTCTAATTCAGAGGTCTTTCAATGACTGCGATTCCCTTCCGCGGTTTAACTGAGGGGATCTGGAGGGGGGGGGCGGGGAAGAAAATAAAAACGAAACCGAGCAACAGATGCGAAGGACAACACGCTACGAGGTCGTTTAGGATGGGGGACTCCGTATTTTGTCACACTCACAAAAAGGATATTTGGGACCCGAAAGACGGTGAATTACACGTATTTCGGGCTTGTCCAGTACGAGCTGCTGAACTCGATATGCTTTATATATTTACAGCGAAGTTAATATCTAAATGCCTTGCGTTACCCCTAATATTTGCCTTCCTATCAAACGCCCCTCGGTGTCTCAGCCAGGCGCGCACCCGCGCACCCACGCACACCCACACGTGCGCGCACACGCACTTTCGCTTCATCTCCTTCTTTATAAGCTTCCCAAATCACTACAGGAAAAAAAAAAAACAAACCAAACCAAAACAAAACCAAACCACCCCAAAACCCAAACAAAAGCGATCTTAGCCCGAGGCGCAGCCTGCAGCCAGCCCCTCGCCTGGGCGATGAGGCGGGCGTGTGCAGGGGAAACTGCGTGGGCGTGGGTGTGCGTGGGTGGGTGGGTGCCCGTGTGCGTGTGCGTGCGTGTGCCCTTGTGGAGGTGGGTGCGTGCAGAAAATTAAATACAGTCTGATAAAGAAAGTTAATTCAAACTACGTGTCGTACGCAATAAACTATCTTTTTATTTTGATTATAAATAAGGTGACTGTACTTCCCTTCAAATACAAGTACATAGGAAAACCTGGTAGAAATTATCTTCTTTTTTTTTTTTTTTTACAAGATATTAAAACTGGACGCTCTTTAAATCGGCCGCATGTTCTATACTGTCAGCAGGTTCTTCGTTAATTTGTTTCTAGTGGCGTTAGACTTTTACCTTCTTTCTCCTCCGTGCCTTTGGCATTTGAATTTCTACTCCCGGAATACTTTGCTTTCTCTAGCAAGAAGTCTCTGAGGTGCCCCCCGCCCTCCCCTAAAAATCGGGCTGATGAATTTGGACTCCAGCCCTTCACTCTCGAGTTTGTGAATCCCACGCGTTCACTTGGCACTTTTGCACGCCGAGGACTGATCCTGAACCCCATTAACTCCCCTCTGAGAACAGGGTCTGGGCCCTAGGAGGGGCAGGGGCTTTTCAGGGTTTGGCAGCATCCCGGGTTGTTTTTCCATCAAGCCAAAAGAAAAAAAAAAAAAAAAAAAAAGGGGGAAAAAAAAAAAAAGAGATGCTGGAAAGGGAGGGGGAACCAAAGGGAAATTTAAAAAAAAAGGAATATTCGTAACGTGTATAATTTATTAGAAGCCTCTTAGGAACTATATTTAAGCCAAATATCTACATAAGTTACAACAGGAGAAGGCGGCGTGCGCAAATAACAAACTGCCAGAGGATTTACGACGGGGCGATCAGTGTCCATAAAAAAGGTGGGGGTTGGTTTGGTTGATCGTATTTTTTTTTCTTTTTCTTTTTACAACAAAATATACAGGCTACTAAAAACTATGGGTTTAGTCCAACTTTTGACAGCATTATACAGCTACAGGTTCACATCAAACGTAAGGAGGAAAATAAAAGCCAAGCCTTTGATGACTCCACGTCTCCATCCGCTGGCCCTGGCGGCGGGGCTGGGAGAGGAGACCGGGGGAGGGGGGAAGCTGCTTCTTGTGTCTGGGTGACGCGAATGCGTGTATTTTTTTGGGGGGGAAAACCACCCCATCCCCCAAAATCTCTATATTTACATGCAAGTCCTAGACGCTGGCAAAGTGTACATCTGAAATCCAAGCCTTCGGACCGTGCCTAACGATGGTCCCCTTTCTGTAGACTGCTCCGTGGTTATTAGCCAGAATTTTTTTAACACCCCATACAACGACCTTGGGGAAAAAAAAAAAAAAAAAAAAAAAAAAAAAAAAAAAAAAGAAAGACCCCAAAACCATCAAGAGGAACGACAAAACCGAGCGACAAAAAAAGTCTCTCTTTCTCTCTTATGGGTCCACAGAGAACCACTCAGTAAAACGGGGGGAGGGGGGGAAAGCGTAAAAAAAGAGGGGAAAAAAAGCCCAAAACCAAAAAAACAAACCACCCAGTAGTTTGGACAGGACAGAGATTTGTGTGACTGGGAAAATCTGCTCTTTTTTTTTCTTTCTTTTTTTTTTCCTTTTTTTTTTTTTTCCTTTTGTTTTGTTTAATCCTTTCACCAGGTCCTACCGTATAGCAAGGTGGAGCAAGACATGGCAGTGCCATAGTCAGAAGTAGAAGAGTTTAGGTGAGACAAACTGGAGACTCGGCTCTGCAGAGAGGAAGGGCTGGCCGAGTGCTGTCCCATGTCTGGAGACTGCCCCGCACTGTTTGTCTGGTGGCTCTGATGCTGTCCGAGGCTGTTGCCATTGGTAGCCACAGTGATCGTCGTAGCTGCCTGCTGCTGATGGCTCTGGATAGCTGCCGTGGGTGTGTTGGAGCCTGCTTGGCAGGGCTTGCCATCCTTTACAAGCACTGGCACCGCCACCCTTCTGGGAGACTGCTGCTGCTGGCAAGAGCCGTTCTCCTGTTGCATCTGCTGCTGCGCAGCCTTGTCTTTGGCCTGGCGTTTCATCTTGTAGCGGTGGTTCTGGAACCAGATTTTGACCTGAGTCGGGGTGAGATGTATCATGCTGGCTAAGTGTTCCCTCTCCGGGGCGGAGAGGTATTTCTGCTGCTTGAAACGTCTCTCCAGCTCGTAAACCTGGGCCTGGGAGAAAAGGACCCTCCGTTTCCTCCGCGGCGTGCTCTGGAGCGGGGCCATGCTCTTGCTCACGTCCCCCAGGGAGCCGAGGCTGCCCATGCCGCCCATGTTCATGCCCGAGGACGGCGCCATGAAGCGGGAGACTGCAAGGGAGAAGGCGGCACGGTTTAGGTGGCTCGGCCCGGCCCGAGCGGGGCCCCGCGCTCCCGCCGCC